GCTTTGTGAGCCCCCCCCGGCGCCCCTCCCCTCCCCCATCCGGCTCCGGCGCGAGCCTCTGCCGCAGCAGCTCCGTTTTCACGCGCATCTCTCACTCTTTCTTTTCTTTTCTGTTCCAGAGAATTGGAAGCTAAAGCTACCAAAGACGTAGAAAGGAATCTTAGCAGGTAAGATGGGCGAGCTTTCCGTCTCTCGTCCCGTTAATCGTGTATTTCCACTCTGGTTCGCCCTTTCTGGGGTTATAAGTTCCCCCGTGTCATTTTCTTTCGCACGCAGGGGACAGGCATTCGGGAGAAGAGGCCAGAGGGAATATTGGATGGAGGGATTCCGGGGAGATGCGTAATTACGCGTGTGTTCCTTTCTTTGTGGGGGGGGAACAGCGAAAAGCAATTCTTGTAAACTTAGTTAAAGCATTCTCACCCTTTTAGAATTTAATTAGGGGACTTGTGCATTAATTACTATTGTAAATGGTTGCAGGCATTGTGTGACTCATGATTGAGGCGGCCCTTATGGCGGGCTGTCAAACTGTTTTGGCTTCCCCGTTATTACTTTGTAACTCAAATTGTTGCCCTTATAAAAAGATACTATGTGTTCGCATTTTTTTCGGCACATTGTAGTCAGGCGGGTTCTGTTGCAGTGGAAACAGTTTTGCCCTTGAACTTTACCAAGCATAAACTGTTTTGTTTTTTTTTTGAAACTACATTTGTGTCTACGTTCAATGTGTGCCCTTTTAATAGCCGGTAAAATAATTAAAAACCTGTTCCCATTAAGTGGTTATCATTGCTTTTGGGCCTGAGTGCTTTTGCACTGGTATCTTAAATCATCGCCACAAAGGGAGTTTTTTGTTTTTTAAACGATGCCTTCATGGAAATATTCAGCGTTATTGAGCTGTAATTGCTTAAGCATCAGGGCATTGCACTGGATTTAACTCTTTTTCACATTCATGTTGTCTTACAGTCTTTTCCTTTCTTATTCGCCGTTTTCTTTTGCATCATATTGGGACACTCGAGAAACTTCTAGATTAATTTAATCAGTGAGCAGCTTTCACTTGGATAGAATGAAATAAAATTTCTCCTATCTCAGTTCTTAATATAATTTATGCTTGATGACTGTTTTTAGATTTATGTTGAGATTTATTAACACTCACAAATCAAATCGTCTGGTTACTTTTCACCACATAGAATCATTCCAAATTGCTGGTCTTTTGAGTTTTATAGATATTAATCTGTTAAGGTGATCATTAAAGAATCTGTTTGGTTGGTGAAGGATGGGCATTATTGGCTTACCAAATAAGAGATTTTTTTGTTATTCAGAATAATTATGGGATCATTTAAAGGAAATTAACCCTGACATCACTGACTAAGTAACTGTTCATTGGACATTTAAGTAAGTTTTATTGTCAAAAGCTATTAAAGAAATGTTAAGATATGAAACCATTAAAGAAAACAGGTTGAGTTTTTAAGGTGTAATTTCAGCAGCAGAAAGGAGCTTGGAGTTTGGGTCTGTTTCTCCTTCCATTTTTGCTTTGTCAGGTAATTGTATCAGTATAATTCCTATGGAGGTTTTCTGGGGCTTAATTAAAAATTGTGTCTACCACAGGTATAATTTTTATATATTATTACAGTTGGATAGAACTTGGAGTTTCTGTATCGGAATTTGAATCCCAGCTCTGCCACTTACAATATGACCTTGACTCTTGGCAAATCACTTAGCCTCTGTGCCTAATCTATAAAACAGAGGTTTGGGCCAGCTAGTTGCAAAGGTCTGTAGGCCCTTGGGTTATGTAAAGGGAGTCACGGGAGTCATATAAAAAGGCCACAGAGAGCATGTACAATCTGGTAGGCAAACTAATAAATATTAAATAACTAATACAAGGTCAATGATGTAGGGATCAGAAGAAGATACCATCCCATTGATATACTTGAGGATCTTCAGTTGGTCAGAAGGAACGAAAAAGAAAAATAAGTGTCAAGGAGGTTACAAGGCAGTGTGTACTAAGGACCATGAGAGGGGAACATTTCCTAAAGGGTGAAAGTGTTCTGAGGAGGGAGAGATGTGATTAGGTGGGCAACTGCTTCCGTTCAACTCTCTCTAGTTCTATGCTTCCTTTTTCCCAGATAAGAAGAGTATATCTGTCTTGACCCATTCGTGCTCTCCCCAGGAAGTCAAGGCATTATTTTCTAATAAACATTTCTTGAGCATCTTCCATGTTCCAAATGCGAGACTAGGCACTAGGGAGGGGAAGAATGGCAGTAGCTAAATTTATTGAATGCTTCTATCTGCCTTGACACTCTTTTCTGAAGACTTTACATGGACTCATCTGATCCCTGGAACACTGTGTGAGGTAGGTACTATTATCCTTGTTTTATGGATGAAGAATTTGGGACACCAAGAGGTTAAGGAACTTTCAGGAGGCCACACCACTGGTAAGTAATTGGAGGAGCTGTCGAGCTTTGAACTATATTGTATTGTCTCTTACTAGAGGCGTGGTTCTTTACCTTGAAAAATTTGAAAATCTCCTTGGGGAGGCAGAACCCACAGATACGTGCAGTTCTTCTAGATCAGAGTTTCTTACCTGGGTAGTGTTGATATTTTGGACCAGAAAATTTATTGTTGTGAAGTCTGCCCTGTGCATTGTGGGATGCTGGACAGCATCTGCCAGTGGCACTCCCCACCCAGTTGTGACAATCAAAAATGTGTTCAGATATTGCCAGATATCTCCTGGGGGGCAAGAGTCACCCCCAGTTGAGAACCACTGTTTTAGATCTTTACATTTCCTGAAGATAACTGAAGATTTGGATTTTTAAGGTGAAATCTTTAAATGTTAAATTAATTTAAACTTTTTTTTGGGGGGTGGGGGTGAGATCAGCCCTGAGCTAACATCCATGCCAGTCCTCCTCTTTTTGCTAAGGAAGACCTGCTCTGAGCTAACATCCATTGTCAATTCTTCTTCTTTTTTTTTTCTTCCCTTTTTCTCCCCAAAGCCCCAGTAGATAGTTGTATGTCATAGTTGCACATCCTTCTAGTTGCCGTATGTGGGACGGACGCCGCCTCAGCATGACCGAAGAAGCGGTGCGTCGGTGTGCGCTCGGGATCCGAACCGGGGCTGCCAGTAGCGGAGCGTGCACACTTAACTGCCAAGCCACGGGGCAGGCCCCAATTTAAATGTTTTAATACCATGAAAGTCCAAACCCTATTTTGTGGACCGCTAGTTTGGAAGCTCTGTCTCTGAATATCAGAGATGTATTTCCATTCTCCTTTTCCTCTGCAAAGCTGCAAATCCTCCTCAAGACAGTGTGCCAGGTAGCCAGTGCCATTTAAACAAAATTGGCACAAAAGATAAATTTAGTTTACTACCCTAGGTAAACTCTTTCTTAATTCACTGTTGGCCATTAAAATTGTCACTTTATGTCAGTGTCATGGGTGTTCAAAAGAGGGAACTATAATGTCTACATGGGAGTTCTCACCGTTGGAACTGAACTTTAAAGAATGGAATCAATTTTGAAAGGCAGAGAAAAGGGTAGTGTAAGAAGAAGAGCAGAAAAAAGGCACAAAATCCAGAAAGTACAGGGAATTTTTAAATAGCAGTGAGTAGTTCATTGGATTGGCATATAAAGTTGGGAGCAGATGCAGAGGTTCTTAAATATCAGGTTGAGGAATTTTTACATGAATCTTTAGATAGTGGGGAGCTATTGTATGTTTTTGGGTGGTTAGTGATATGATAGAATAATGATAACTAGTGATCTAGGCAAGACCTGAATTAAAGTGGTGGTAGGAAAGAGGTGCGAGTGTGAGATACTGGGGAAGTGGAATCTGGGATTTGGCTGGTGACTAATCTGGGATTAGTTGTGAGAGGAGTCTAAACACACAGGAGTCTTGGGTGAATGGGAGATTGACCTAGCCTCTGAACAGGTCAGAACAGAAATAGGACTTTCTGTAGAGGTGATGTTACACTTTCCAGTTGTAAAAAATCTCTTCTAGTCTAACTCAACTGATGTAATTTTTAAAAATATTTTGGAGGCCAAAGCTATAGAATCATTGAGTATTTAGAGCTGGACCATGACATTAAATAGAGACTAGCCAGTATTCTGACCCTTTCATTTTACAAATGAGAAAGCTATGGTTGAGACAGATCCAGTAACTTAGTCAAGGTTATATTCTCTAACAAGTGACAGAGTTGGGATTCAAACAGGCCTTTTGGCTCATGATAACTATAGGGTTCTTCCAACTATGCAGTATTTTATTTTATATTGCACTATAGAAAAAAGAAAACTTTGGCTTCTTTCTTTCTGAAAATGTAAGAACAATGGTCTTAACCATATTTTGTGCCCATTCTGGTAATGAATTTACTGTAATGTAGGATATATTATTTAAAGTAGAAGTTAACATGCTTCATGTTATGCTGCTTCTTTTTTTCCCCAAACTCAGTTATTAAATGCCATTATGCAACAACAGTTGTTAAAGATGATGTAGTACCATATAATGTAGCATCTAAACTGGAACACCTTTATCTGAGACGCTTTTGCCTGGGACAAATGCTATTAAATAAGAAAAGACTAGGGACGACAGGAGTAAACCAGGGCATTCGTTTTCTCTAGATGAGGTGGACCCTGCTCTTGAAATTCATCAACCTTTATCTGGAAAAAAAGTTATCTTCTGATTTCGTTAAGCTTTTCTGTTGCTTTCCTGTGATACGGTTAGTAGGCCAGCAAATTCATATTGGTAAGTTTCTTTCTAGCTTAATTTGGCAGCTGTGTGGTAATTAATTGATAGAATAAACGAATCACAAACTGTAAGCTTAATTTTAAAATGTGTAACAACCCTCTGTGGCAAATTTAAATATAAACATCATTAAAAAATCTGAGTTCCATTGTATAACCTCTTGTGAATTTTGGCATCTGAAGTACGTCTGCAAGTATAAATTAAAGTCCTTACAGTTCTGTTTTATGACAACCTCAAAAGTATTGCCCATGATTGGGAAGACTAAAATAGATGTGTGCCGTATATATTCTGCTCAGACTGATGACTTATGACAAGTCTCTCACTCAAAATCAAGAAAATGTCCTCCTATTTAAAATTTCTTAAAAAATCATTCTAACCTTCAGCGAAGTAGCAACAATAGTGTGCATTGAACACCTGTATCTCTGTCTAGGTTTACTGATTATTA